TTCACAGGCCTGGGATCCCACGACTGACCACTCCGGCCTCCGGGACCCAGGCCTGTGGTCACTTCAGGCGGAGGGGTACAGCCTGAAAAATCCTTCCAAGTCCATTGAGGAAAGCCCTCGTCTGGGCCAGAGGGTCACAGCTCGAATTCCCTGGAAGGGGAAGGGGAATTTTCTTCTTATCCTCAAGTTGCGTTGTTTGTGCAGTTTCTGGGAAACTCCATTGTCTCTCCCTCAGGCAGATGCTGACACTGCCCCCCAAATTGGTGGCACTTGGTCTTCCCTGGGGTGCCTCCCCCACCGTCCACACCTCCCTAGATAGAAGCCCCCGCCACCTGGCTGGAACTGTATCCAGTGGGATATAGCCCGTTTGGAGTTTGTGACGCACTGAGTAAAGCTGTCTTTCCTGCCTGTGGAAAGGTGTTTGCAGAGCAAAGAAATGGTGTCAGCAAAACCGAGGTGGCCCTGTGACCCAGTTACGACAGAGCTTTGGGCAAGCGTTGCTTGATTGACAGCTGGGGATTACTGACCGCGCTGTAACTGAAGGGCTGCAGGAAGATGTCAGGAGGCTGAACTCAGAGCAACGGCCACAAGTGCCCCAAACCCCCAAACCAAAGGTTTGCTCCAACAGTTTTTGTTTTAAAAATAATACCGACACCATCTTCCATTTAGTGCAGTCCCTGCTTTTCTCTGAGGCCTCATCCGAGCCTCCTTGGGGATGACAGCTGCTGTCACAGTGCGGGCACCAGTGTGAGCCCTCCCTCCATTCTCCACTTGGTCCTTGGGGCCGGTCCAGTGTTTCGCTGTATTGGCTGCTGCAGATGCTGAGTGGCTGTGCCTCAATTCATGGGTCTAGCTGTCCCTGAGACACTGGGGGCCGTTCCCACTGTCCCCTGCAGTGAGGGACTGTGCAAACCCATCCTTATGATCACTCTGTGACTTTGGGGCGGTTCCCTTGGAGTGAATTCCAGGACGGGCAAGGGTCCAGCCCCCCCGGCTCCCTCAGCGTGCGGTCACAGAAGGGTGGACCTGCCCTCGGCTCCGCCAGAAGGGTCCGTCCACCCGCGGTCAGGCCAGGGTGCGCACATGCATCTCACCATTCTGTTGCGTCCAAAGGTGTGACAGACATTCCCTTCTGTTGCATTTCCTCACTGGAAAGGGGAGTGTTTTCCCGGAAGCTGGTTTGCAGTTTGGGACAGAGGGAGCTCTCTGAGGCCAGGTCTCTGCTCACTCCTGCCCGGTTCTGAAGGCCCCACGTTCACCCTTTTGGCCCAGGACTCTGCCTGGCGGGGCTGAGGGTGGAGGGAAGTGGCTCCCCAGGGCCCATCCTTGTCTGCTTCCCGCGAGGGGCACCAACCTGTTGAAGAAACCCACCCCAGTGCCACCTCTCCAGCCCCAGCTATAAACGCACATGAGTAAAGCAGGGCACAGGGCACGAAAACCATTTCTCAAGAGTGGAGATCAAGTGACAGGAGCGACAACCCCTGTCTCCCACTCCTGCTTCCTGGACAAGGATGGGGCGTCTGTGTGGGCCCCTCCCGCCTCCTCCACGCGCCTCTGTAAGGAGATCTGAGGGCGGGGGGGCTGGCGGGAGCAAGAATCAGGCGGTGGACCCCCATGATTTGCTGATTCCATGTTTGTGAATTCATCCATTCGCTAAAATTTATGTGTAACTCCAAAACTGATCGCAGCCACTCGCAGGGAGGCACAGAGGTGACAAATGTGAGTCCCCAACGCTCCTGTTCCTAGGTCGGCACCCTGCTTTGTGCTGTCAGCTCTGATGCTGTAAACGGCGTCCTCCCTAGTTAGTGCCACGGTGGTTTCTCTCTCTCTTTTTTTCTTCTCTAGTATTTTTGTGCTTTTTGCCTGCTTTTGCTGTATTAAATGGCCCTAAGTGTAGTGGGGAAGGGCTGTCTCGAGTCCTAAGGGCAAGAAGGCAGGGGTTGCCTTCCAGAGGAAACGCGGGCCTAGGCCAGCTTCCTTTGGGCACGAGTTAAAGAGCTGGTGGCCGGGTTCAAGTTCATGCATCAACCATACACGTGAAACAAGGTGTCTTTAAGTAGAAGCACATGTCGTACAAGGTCGCATATTGATTGACTAACGAAGATATTGTGGCCAGAGGCTTTCGGGAAGCTAACCCTGAACTGCCCCCAGGAGCAAAGGTTCAGTGTTTGCCGCAACTCCATGGATTCGACTGTGTGTCAGCTAATGTTAGCACAGGGGGAAGGCAAAACCCCATCTGCCGTCCGGGACTCTGGAATGCGTGAGTTGGGGGCTGGAAGGTGAACGTTTGGAGCAGAGATGGTTTTGCATTTGGGACGTTTCTGTCAGGTGAGTCCCTAAAGCCATCACCACCTTCTCCCCAGCTCCAGCGACAGAAGCTGGAAACCAGCTACTCACTTTCCTGCCTCTTTGGCAGCTGGAGGTGGTCCCAAGGCCGCAGTCTGGCCAGACGTGAGCTGACGTCTGCTGGGGTGGAGCAGCTTCAGGAAAAGCTTTGCTCCCCGGATACAGAGGCTCCGGCCATCTCTTCCCCAGCCTGCCCAGCACGGAGCTGAGGGTCCCAGTCCCAGCACCGTCTGCTTTGGTTTTCACTCTGCAAAGTGTTTTGTTTACTCGATTTCATTGACTCGCTCACCACAACACGTAAATCAGGTTCTGTGGCAGTCCTCACTTCACAGATGAGAAAACTGAGGCTCAGGGACGTGTGTTGACTCCAAGTGCAGTTTTGGGCCCCACCTCACCTGTTCCAGCCTCAGACTGCAAACGTCTCCCGAGGGCCTCACGTGTGACTGTGCCCTCTGAGATCCTGATGGGTCATAAAAGAGGCCGCCCCATCATGGTCTCTGCCAGCTACACTTGTTTGACAGGCTGCCCTGGAATGCAGGCTACAGGCTACGGGCATTATGGTTTTGATTAGAATGGTACCCCAACACCTGGGCCGGTGATCAGACCCTGCTAGGAGTGCAATAAATACTTGGAGAAAAGACTGCCTTCGGTTGTCATTGTGTTAAGTGGCAGAATCCATGAAGACGCCCAGAACGGTGCTGACAATGAGTGCTCCGTCAGTGTAGCTGTCATTATTCAGGGCAGATCGGAGTCCCGATCTGCATTTTTTTTTTTTTTTTGTAAACTAGAGACTCATACAATGGATGTGTCACCTCCGAGAGGGAGGCCCTGCCAAGCCCCATAGGCCTGTGGTTCCTGGAGATGGCGGTTCAGTTTGGGTATTTATGGCGACAGCCTTCTGCCCTGTCCTTCTTCTCACACATGGGCCCTTTTAAAAGAATCTCCCTCCTTGGGCCTCAGCGTGGCGTGACGTCAGGGTTCAGCGCGGCTCCTCCCCACACCTCACCCCTGACACTTCACACAGGGCCGTCACCACGCTGGCAGGGGCGTCCTCAGGAAGCAGAGGGGGACGGGCCCGTGCGCATCACATGAGCAGGTTGAGTTCCTCAGCCCCGTCATCAGCAGTGAAGGAAAGAGGGTTTTGGTGATGAGGTAAAGGAGAAGACAGGCTGGTGCGAAGGGTGTGCAGCGGGGAGAGGGGCCAAGGGGAGGGCTTCGGACAGCTGGGGGCGGGCCGGCACGGGGATGTCCGGCACGAGGCCAGAAAGAAGGACGGAGACATGTTCCCGCACAGCCCTGCCCTCACCGTGCCGTCCCTCCCCTCGGCCACACCCTTCCTGTACATGTCGTGTGATGAGGGTGGCGGTGGACGAGGTGGATGGCGGGGTCCCCTCACCGGGGAAGCAGGCAGCTGCTCTCCTCCCTTTCTCTGTGCAGTTCCCCACCCCTCACCGGCTGCAGAAAACTCACCTGGCTCTGTGGTGGTTCGTGTGGGAAGCCGGGGCGATCGCCAGGACAGGTAGCGGCTCAGCTTTTTGCTGCAAACGGAAATTCATGGAGATGCTGACTGTCCCATGGGGCCCTTTACGCACATGGCCGCGACTCTTCAACAAACACTTTCCACGTTATGTTCACTCCGCTGTGCAATCAGTCGGTAAGTGGGAGAGCACGGCTTTCCTGCTCCTCTCCGTCAGTAGTCAATTACGGAGCAACGAAGTCCTGTCATGTCCCAGGGCAGGAAGATCATTCCAGCTAAAACAGTGCCGAGGTCTCAAGTTCCCTGACGGTCAGGAAATGAGATGGTTGGGCTTCGTCATCTCTGTAGATGGCTGTCGTCCGTGGGGTCTTGTCGGTCCTTCAGTGATGGAAACAAGCCCTTTGAGAGGGGTCTGGCGCGGCCTCGCAGAGTTGACGCTTCCATTTCATGAGTCTCTATTAAATAAATTCCAAAACAAGGTTTCAGGAATTGTGGCATATAATGTTTCTATTTAATGAATTAACTGTTAGCCCATAAAACTCAAATACCAGCTAATTATTGCTATTCCATATATAATGTCAGGATTTATTAAAAGTATTACTTTATGGTGCATCTGCCCCCAGTCCCGATGGCCAGCTCTTGGGCTCTGAACAACCCCAGGCCCCCTGGAACCCCTGCTCACCCCTGGGCAGGTCTTGGGCCTGACCCTCTGTCTTCCCGTCACTGACCTGGAAGGTAGCCCAGGCCCCTTAGCTCAGAATTCAAGGCCTCTACAATCTCGCCCCTGGCGAGCTGGCCAGCCGTGCTCCCCAGGGCAATCTGAGGCTTATAGTGGGCTGGGCAGGGGCCCCAAAAGGTGTGTCCATTTCCTAATCCCTACAATTGTCAGCTTATGTGGCAAAGGAGTGATTGAGTTAAGGGTCTAGAGAGGGGGAATTTATCCTGGATTAGCAGGTGGCCCCAAATGCCACCCCATGTGCCTTCTAAGAGAGAAGCAGAGGGAGATCAGACAGCCTCACGGGGTAGAAGGCCATCTGAAGACAGGGCAGGGACAGATGGGGCCACGAGCCAGGGACACTGGAGCCGTCAGAAGCTGGGAGAGGCAGGAAGGCTCCCCGCCAGGGCTTCTGAGGGAGTGTGGTCCTGCTGACACCTTGACCTCAGGCTTCTGGCCTCATGAGCTGGAAGAGAATAAATTCCTGTTGTCCTGAGCCGCCAAGGTTGCGGTAACTTGTTTCGGAAGTCCTAGGAAATGAATACAGCTATACTCGTCCTTGTACATTTGTTCTTGTCATTCTCACACGTGGAGTTGACCCGATCCGTCCCCACCTGGCCCAGCGCCGTCTCTAAGGCTGAGTCGAGACTGTCTTCAAGCCTTCCCGGTGGCCTTTCTCTCCCTGGAACCCCAGCACAGTGGCTCTCAGGAGTTCTGATGGACTTTTCTGGGGTGCAGCCCGGGCCCTGGGCTTTTGAAAGCTCCCCTGCAGATCCTACCTGGGTGGTTCAAGCCCAGGCTGGTTCCATGCTGGTGGGAGCCGTGTATCCGAGGTGAGCAGCCCTTTAGCCGGGAGCAGGGGTGCTGACCCACCTTGGCTGGGGTTTAGCACAGTGTCCGTAACTCTGCAGACAGCAAGCTCAGGCAGGGAGACTGAGCACCCCGTGATGAGCAAAGCTTTCAGCACCTGCTTCTTCATTTTCCTGGACTTTCTGAAATGCAGCTGAGCCAGCCTGACAACTCGCAGATACCAAAGGCCCCATCTTCTCTATCTGCGTTTACTTAAGGATTCTCATTTGCGTGATTGTTTGATGGAAAAGGACAGATAATGGCTGAGGTCCCCTAATAGTGAATGGATCCAGGACCAAAGCTGTAGCTTAGCAACCAGCTGGTGTCCCGTGTTGACTTATAAGTGGAGCGGTCAGCCCCAGACCTCAGCTCACTCGGGGGCCTGCCCCTCTCGCCACAGAGGCTGTGAACTGGGCAGCCAGGTAGACCATGAACCCCAGAATAGCCCTCTGTGCCCCAAGGCTACCCCTTGTGGCTGGAACAGCTGCCCTGCCTGGCAGAGAAGCCAGCATCATCCACACATCAGCTTGAGCTGCTCCTGTCCCCCAGTGCATCTCATTCAGAAGGGGCGGAGTCCCCAGGCAGCTTCAGGTTCCTGAGCTGCCATCTGCTGGGTCAGCTCGGTGGAACACGGCCTCTTCCCTTCTTCCTCTGTGACCCGTCTTCCCAAAGGAAAACCTAAGAAGCACCTTTGCAGTTGGGCTCAAGTCATCCTCAAATACTACTCTCCACGGGAACACCCTCCTAGCTGGCAGCTGTCGAAGGAAAAGGCAAAAGCTATAAGAAGAGAACATTCCCCACTACTTGATTTTATTAATCAGAAATGTTTATTTTCTCCCATTTGGAAGGGTCATACACACATAGGGCTCAAAATCCAGAGGGCGCTCCACCCTGTGTTAAGGCTTGCTGCGAAATGACAGTGATTAAGACAGGGTGGTGTTGGCGGAGGGACAGACACGCAGATTGACGGACCTGCCGCACAGACACCCCAGAAACCCACCCACCGATTGTAGGCAGAGGTGCAAAGCAGTTCAGTGGATGCGGGACAGCCTTTCAACAAGTGGTGCCAAGCAGCTGTATTCTTGGGAAGAAAAGGAACCTTGACCTAAATCTCACACCTTAAACAAAAAATAACTTTACGAGGATCACAGATTAAACAATAAAACACAAAATGATAAAACTTTCAGGAGAAAATGGAAAGCCTTCAGGACCTGAGGTTAGGTGAAGAGTTCTTAGACTTGACCCCAAAAGCGTGATCCATAAAAGGAAAAAGTGATAAACCGGATTCATCACAATGAAAAACGTATGCTTTGAGGAAGATCTTGCGAAGGGGATGGAAAGACAGATGGGAAGAATATATGTGCAAACCCTGCAAACGACTGTTGTCTGGACTATAGGAAGAGCTCTCAAACTTGACAGTAAAAACGCAGACTGTGCAGTTAGGAAACGGGCAAAAGATGTGAGCAGACGTTTCACCAAGGAGACACAGGTGGCCAGCAAACCCGTGAAAAGTGGGCTGCCCCCTTAGCCATCAGGGAGACGCGAACCCAGGCCACACAGGGGATCACGACACACAAGCGGAGTGCCTAGGACCCCATCGTGACCGCACCAAACGCTGGACCCTCCCATACGGCCGGTGGGGCTGCCGCAGCCACTCTGGGAAGGGGTTTGGGTGTTTGTTACGAAATGAAAGACCTGCGTGTGTCCCCGGGAAATGAAGACATTTGTTCACACAAAGGCACATACACGACTGTTTCTAGCAGCTTCCTTCTTCATTGCCCCGAATTGGAAGCAATTCAGATGTCCTTCAATAGGCAAACAGCTGAACTAAGCGTGGCCCAAACCACACTGTGGGACACACAGCAGGAGCGACCCATGACCCAGGCAGCGACGTGCGTGGGTCTGCAGAGAACCGTGCTGAGTGGAACAGGCCCCTCTCAAAGCTCACGTGCTGATTCCATCTTTATCGCTCTTGTGAAGTGAGAAAATGACCTGGCGGAGGACAGGTTAGTGGGTGCGGAAGTTAGGAGTGGGTGCTGTGGCTGCCGTTGGGCAGCGCGAGCGATCCGTGTGACAGGACAGTGTGGTCACATGAAGTTACACGTGTACTGGAATTGCATGGAACCAAAGTCACACACACACACACAACTGAGTGTGCGTAATGCTGGGAAAATCTGACTAAAGCCCTTGAATGTGTCTGTACTCACTGCTTGCCGTGACCCAGAAGCCTCATGTTTGTGTTCAGGATGCTATAAATAAGGCAGATATGAAAACGTGCCCCCAGGCCTAGCCAGCCAGGGCCGTCCTTCCTGACCCCAGCACGGTGGGTGGCGATGCTGGCCGCGGGGCACAAGGGCCCTGACCCCGCACCGGGCTGGGTGTGCGGCACGCAGAGGTTCTGCCTCCGTCCTCATCGCTGTCCCGCCAGCAGCAGGAAGAGGCCCCTCCGAGACGGGGGTGTGGGCCTGTGGAAGTGACCGAGCCCACGTCACGCTTGTCTGGCTTTACCCCAGGGACACCCCAAAGCCTCAGCTTATGGCTTCAGCGAGAGCCCTTTTTTCCAGGCAGGATGGGACTTGACTCTGCCCTAAATAGAAATACCATTCGTAGGGAAATGTTTGCCATCAATGAACAAGGGGAGACAGCTCTGTAACTCATGTAAAAATAGACTTAACGTCTGTGAAGGGTTGGAGGAGAAATCTCTAAAGTCCTTATGAAATAGATGGGCTTCCGTCTCCTGGGATCCTAGGGGCCATTCGGGACAGCTGCGGCCCAGCTCCTTTAATTCTGGCCACAGAGGGTGGCAGTTAGCAGCGTGACTGAGCATGGCGACAACCGGAACCCTTTCCTGAAGGAGAGTCACTCTTACGACCCAGTTGTTCTGTTACAGCCTCGCTGCCTGGCTGCTGATTGCTCTCGGCCGTGTGGGGTGTTTTGTATATTGTCTGTCTACTGATCTAGGCGCCCACCATGCACCCATGCCTCCGTGTCCCCTTTTGGGGGATACAGGGTAGGGAGGTGGAGGGTGAACAGGCTGACAAGACGGTGGTCAACAGTTGATTCCAGTTCAGGCCCCAGGGCCACCGGAGGCTGGGTCTGTGGGGCTCCAGCCCTCATTCACCCCTTTGGGTGACGAGCGTCCTGCCACCTTCCGTCTTTGTCCCACCCCAGCCCCCACCGACACTGATAACACATCCAGGCGCTTTCTAGCCTTCACAGCTATGACCCCTGGACCCTCACACAACTCCATGAGGCAGCCATCGTTACTATTTCCATTTTGTGGGAGGGGACACTGAGGCACAGAGAGGCTGAGCATGTCACCCCGCATCACACGGACCTGGATTTGAGCCCAGGCAGCCTGGGTGCAGAGCCTGGCCCCTGCCCCTCACTGGGGAAGTGTGCGTGTGTCTGGGGGGCGACCAGGACTCAGGAGCCCTGGCTCCAGGCCGGCCGTGACGCTGCTGGCCGCGACGCTGAAACGCCAACCCGCCTCCGCAGCTCTCCTCCAGGCGCTCTGCTCTGTCTGTGCCTCTCCCGCTGTGGCGTTTTTGTTCTGATGCACGTGGCAGGAGCTGGGATCTATGTGGATTGGCTGCCTAAAGCATTCACAGACCCCCACCTGCCTGTGGGATGGAGGCGGGGAGCAGGGCTGCTGTTTCAGAGCAGTAAGCCCGGCAGGTGAGGCTGGCTGTCCCGGAGCTTCCCACGAGGACAAGCAAAAGTGTGAAACCAGGGTTGCATGAGGCGACGCGCAGGGAGATGGTGCCCAGAGGGCAGTGACCATGTGTCACAGGATGGGGGAGGCCTCCCTGACAGTGTGACATTTGGGCACAGACCTGAGGGAAGGGAGGAGGCAGCCACCTGGAGGAAGAGCCACTCAGGCAAAGGGGGCAGCGCATGCAAAGG